GAACAACAAATAGACATATGCTATAAGATTTATGTGCTGTCTTAAACCTTTAAGTCCCAATGGTGATCAACAACAAATTCCTCCTAACGGTATCCATACAATGTCAAGAAACTAGTTTCGGAGAATTAATAAAACGATCAGGGAAGAGAAAATACCTTGTTCTTTTATCAAATTCTCTCAACACATCCTTTAAAAAAATGTATGGAGATGAGTTTGAAGAATTTGTATATGGATGTTGGGGCATTAAGGATTAAGTTTATATTGAAGTGGATACGAGAATACGTAGTGAAAAAGTGAATACGCGGATACGTAGCTATCTTTAGGGGTTGCTTTAAAGTTGGAGGGTATTCTGCAGTTTATAAGGACTGTGATTTGAAGCGATGTAATTTTTCCACTCTTTTCAGTCTGTTCAGCTGATACAATGTATGCTGCTGATATATTGGTTGGGTATAGTGTTGGTAAAAACTCAAGAAATACTGAGTGAAGACTAAGTCAGCTAATGATTCAAGTAAGAACTGACCTCTACCCCAACTACCTCCAATTCCTTGAATCTTTTTCAGCTTGTGCCGCTTGATCTTGCGTGACAAAAAAAACATCAGCTGTAACAGGAGCTATGCATTTCAACAGGCTAAGCAAGTAGACGTCTTATTTTAGGGCAATAAACAGGATTAACAAAATCTCTAGCCAAAGGAAAAAATCCTCAATTATCGTAAAATTACTAAAAAAGCTGATGAATGAAATGAAGAACCAGACCGTGACCATTGATGCTTTGCGCGCGATTACGTGAAATGTCACATGTTCATTCAATGTAAGGCAATCCATTTTCCAATATGGCGACAGGTACGTGGACGTGTTGCTCCTCACGTTGTTTGGTGTTTTCCAGTTTTTAAGTTTTATTTCTCTTACAGAAAAGAGCCAGTACACCTCTCGCATAAAGTCTCTTCCCCTGAAGTTCGGAGAATGCCGTTATTTTGACGTATCCAGCCTAAACGAAGAACGATATGGTACGTTAATAAGACTCAACTTAAGCTTGCATGTAAGAATCAGAACAGTCGAAGCAAAAATGTAAGCTTAATGTACATTAAGATAATCATAAGTGAAATATCTATCTGGGGAAAACCTTAAACAGGAGTGAACTTCTCTTACGAGCAGGTTACCCAAAGTGTATATATAGTTTAAAAAGTTGATCGCGGTGAGGGCGCGGGTGGCAGCCTTTCTCTTCTTGAGAAGGTTTCAGTACAAGATCATTTTATCTTTTTGGGTTTATTGATTTTTTATATCCATATAGTATTAATACAAGTCATTCCCATTCACTCTCTTGTAATGCCAAAGGAATTAAACTCCGATCCCTTTATTATAAAGCTCACGGCAAGCCTAAATTTATGCGATCGAGCTTTGTACTATGACCCTCATGGCGTACACGTAAGCGTTATAATGTAAACTGATTTGGCTTATTTATAAACATTCCATTCCCTTGGTCTGTACACTTATTTGCTTATCTAAATATCGATTCGATTGATATATTTAATTTTTCACAGAATGGGATTTTAAATAAGTGAATGTTTCACTCACAGGCATCATGTTTTGAGATGCTTACTCATGTCACGTCACGTCCTGTGACAGTCATTTCTGATATTGGCTTTGTTTGAAAAAGTCAATGGATACCTCCTTATAACAAATCCTGACAAACAGGATGATTATCCACTTCCACTGATCTACTTACCTTCTTTTTAATTTGAAACCTTAGTCCTAGTATCAGGCTACATTTCCTCCTTTCAGCTTCACATATCTTTACCCACATTGTCGGTGAGGTTAAAGTGTAAAAATATATTCATTTTGGGGCATCACACTTGAAATTTAAAGAACCTATTAATTATATCCACTTCCTCTCAAAATAATCAAGGATCTACTTACCCTCTTTGTTATTTGAAACCTTAGTTCCTAGCATCTGCTTACCTTTCCTCCTTTCATATAATCTTACACAGGCTGTGAGAAGGGAAGTGTATGAATCTATTTTGTGGCTTCACACTTTAAACTCAAATAACGTATCTTTTTGATCAAGCAGTGACGGATGATAATGATATTCAAATTGTAGGGAAAGGAAGAGGCATGTTCAGAGATGATGTATTACAGAAACAAAGTATTGAGAATTTCATTGAAACCAATTAAAAGCTTAACAAAAACCTAAAAGGAGCTTAACTTATTTCACTCTATTTCCTTGTCATTTGTTACTTACAGGACTTATCCCTGTATAAATTGACCTTTTACAACCAAGAAATCTGTCACAAAAATCTGCTTTGAACAACTTAGGCACAGATTACAACAATAGAAAATATATTGTTTATGCTGATAGGAGTTGTTGCCGGACCCAGCGTTTAGGTTTCTTTATTTCATTTGCTAGTAAATGTGTGAATATGTAAATAGTTATTTAAGATATTTTTATTGTTTCTATAGTAGTGGTAGTGTTAAGTTATATCCCTTTAATTCAGTTAATTCTGCAGTGTGGCAAATAAACAGTATATTTATTTTTTATTTATTTTTACAAGTTTTGGAGGGCTAAGGGTTAAAGTTCTAAGCTTATTGAAAAACCTGTTGGAAATGCTTTGTGGTGTTCGAGCTCTTTGAGTTACCCCAGTAAGCCCCAATATCCACATACAAATTCTCCAAACTGATCTCTATACATTTCCTTAAAGAATTAGTTGAGAGAATTTGTTAAAAGATCAAAGATTTTTCTCTTGGTGATTATTTTATTAATTCTCATAGACTTTGCTCTTGACAATCTATGGATATTGTTAGCAGAAAATTGATTTTGGACACTATTGGGGCGTAAAGGGTTAAAGGGAAGAATCTTTCAAGAATTTATTTGCAAATGTCACATTGTTCATTTGCCTCTGGCTGCTAAGTTTTATATCTAGTGGCTGTCAAGTTGGTCCTGATTGGTTGATATGTTTTTTGAATTTTCTTGAGATTCTTTGGTCCTTCTTTCATCTAGTACAGTCTCACAAAAATGAAGTTCCATCTCCTCTATGTAAAGGACATAAAAACTTCATCCTTGCATTTTGAATAGTCCCTGAACTTTATACTGTACTGTAAATATGTTGACAGTGTATTAAACAAAGGTATTTTGTACTTCACTTCTTTAGGTCGTCTGCCATTCTCAATCAGGGTGCTACTGGAATCTGCTGTTCGTAACTGTGATGGTTTTCAAGTGAAGTCAAAAGATGTTGAAAATATTTTGGACTGGGAGAACAACCAGAAGCAAAATGTTGAAATTCCTTTTATGCCTGCCAGAGTTATCCTGCAGGATTTTACGTAAGTCAGGGCTCAAAATAGGTGCTGGTCACTGGACAAGGTGCAGCCAAGATGACCATTTGTCCGGACAAACTTGCTGTTGGCCCATCCTTTTGGCTGGTCAACTAAGTGCATGTTTTTAAAATAAATACCTTTAACTGGAAAATTAAATTTATTCACATTACTTCTGTAAGTAACCAAAAAAAGTAAAATTATCTGCTTGCAGCTATCAATAAATTCAGAGAATAGAGATAAGATGATTCCACTAACTGGCTTTTGCAAGCCGGTTAGCTGTTTGCTAGTTTTCATCATTTTGATGAGTTCAAGAACGAGCCAGCAAGAACGAGATAAAGTTTGCTTGGCTGGTTATTTTTTGACCCGTCAGAAATGGTCCAACATGGAAAGAAGCCTTACTCGGCATGATTGAAGTGTAATCATAGCTGGGTTTAACTGCTTAGGTTATAAGGCTTAAAAAAAGTCCAAAAATTAAAGAAGCGATAACATTGTGCTGGAATATTTACAGTCAAGAACTGTTGTTGTATTGAAAAATTTCAGCTCTGGAGAGCTGATTAAAAAAGTTTCAGATTCGTATGCTGGATCTGTTGGATAAGTGTGGACCAAAGCCGAATCTCCAATGAAAAAGTTGGGGATTAAAAAATACCCAGATATGTGTGGACGGGGCCTTAAAAACCAGGTTCTTAGTCACTGGTTTTTACAGTATTATGTGTTTGTTTTTCTTCAGGGGTGTTCCTGCTGTGGTTGACTTTGCTGCTATGCGAGATGCTGTTAAAAGACTTGGAGGGGATCCAGGCAAAATCAATCCACTCTGTCCTGCTGATCTTGTGATTGACCATTCTGTTCAAGTTGATGTATCAAGAAGGTAGTTGGACTATACAGCTACTTAAAATAAAGATAATAGATTTTTTCTTAATGAATTACAGTGGAAGCTCTCGTAAGCTGACACCCTCGGGACGCGAAAAAGGTGTCCGTAAATGGGGTTGACCCCTTACGGGAATGTAAAAATACAGAGTTTGTATCGGAGTTGAGAAAAACGGCATTTTGTGAAGGGGGCCATAAGTTGAGCTTTCCGCTTATGAGAGTGTCTGTTAGGAGAGCTTGCACTGTTATAGTACATTATGAAGTTATGTCCTAACACCAGTAGCCAGGGTTGTCGGAATGTTTTGAAGTAGACAGCTGAGTTGTCAAAGTAAGTGGCCAGTCCAGAGATATTTTATTTAAAAAATGCCGTCCATAGAGAAATGCTAAGCAGAGTAGCTGGCCGATACTCACCAAGTAGGTGGCAATTTTCGCCGGCAGCCGGCTACTTTTGACAACCCTGCAGTAGCTGTCTAAGTATCCTAAGACAGACTTGATGAGCTAGGGTCATAAGTGGCCTGTATATGTTCAGTATTGGGTCCCTCTCCCTCTGGCTCAAAATGCCTCAGGTTTGTTCTTTTGTTTGAGAGAGATTGAGGCCAAAATCTTCTGGAAGAAGTGGATTGAACAAAAGACCCATTGTTTATGCAAACAATAAAAATATTAACAAACTTAGTGCCAAAAAAAAAATTTTGTTTCTTGGCATTGAATTTCTGCAAGACAAAGCAAATAGACATCCAAAAAACAGAGGTGAACTTGTAGCGAAAAGGAGGTCTCCCAAAATAATATTTTATTGTATCTGCCCTTTATGCCCCTAGTCTTCTTGTAATGTTTTCATTTTGTAATGTTACAAGTTTATAAAACAGTTCTGAAAAGTTCTTAAACCATACTATATCATGGACAGTAGAGTTTATAATTTTGACTCTAATAAAATACAGTATAATTTTGTCACTAGTAAGCTGCACATTTTTTATGTATAAAGATTTAGTGTTTCAAGGGTTTTAACTGTTTCAGTTATAAATATTATGTGTGGAATGATTATTATTGTATTTCTCTTTGTTCTTACACCCTGTACTTCCACTTAAATTCACAAGCTAACTTCTAATATTATTAACTTGAAATGCTTACCGTATTTACTTGAATAATGTACCACTTCTGAGTAAGCACCTCCCTGGAATAAGTGCCAATTTTTGGGACAAAAAAGTTGATAAGCCCTGTCCCTGAATAAGCACCAGAGCCCTGTGTTATAATCAGAATCAAAAGATGTTAATTCTGTTTGTTTAATACGGAAAATATTAATACTGTAGTTATAACAATTCTTTATTGCGTCCAACTTTCAAATAAACGCCGCCCTCAAATAAGTGCCACCTTTGGATAAGTGCTGCATTTTTGAAAACTTTAATTAGTGCAATGGCCCTTATTCGAGTAAATACGGTATTACTACAGAAGACAGGAAAGAATATGTGGTCTTGTTCTTTCAGTCAGACTCAGTTGTTTGACCCGGGCGGCAACTGGCCCAAGAAGGACGACCCATGTCCATTTCATTTGCTACCCATTGACTGGTGCGATTTCACTTTTTCTTCTCTTAATAATGTTCAAACATTCATTTCTTGAGAGTTTAGTATACAGAGTGGTGCATGTATACTTTAATTGCACCTCTGGTAATCATTAAATGAATATTGTGCCTGGCTGATTTTCTTGTAAGCACAAAAAATTATTAATAACTTCATGAAGTTGCCACCAAGCTGATGTCTCTTAAACCTCTAAATGAATAACAGGTTTCTCCTCATGAACAGTTTGAACTGATAGTACCCATTGTTTTTGTCTCTCGAAAGATACATGTAACTTTGTACATTTTATTTATTAATCACACATATCATAAACTGTACTTTTGCTTTCTCTTATTAATATCACTTCTGCTACTGGTGTTTGGACCAGGCCAATTTAAGTTCTGTTTCAAAATTCAAGATGATGTGAGTTCTCTTACGTTCAAGCAGCTTTCCTCAAGTTTTCGATGATGTACACCTAAATGAATAGTAACAGTGATTATGTATGTTTTTTCACCAGCTCCACAGCACTTCAGAAAAACCAGGAAATGGAATTCACAAGAAACAAGGAGAGGTTTCTTTTTCTGAAGGTAAGTGTTTTCTTTACCTTTTTCTGTCAAGCAGTTTGCTGAGGCAGTATTATTACTTGTATGGATGTTATGCAAATTTGTTCTTTGTTTTAAATTCTCGAATTGGTTGGGCCAAATTAATTTCTTTTCTATTTCTACTCATTTGTAATAATTATTGCTTTATGTGTTGAGTCATTGATTGAGTTTTACTGGTAGTGAATATTTTTTATTTGTTTGTAGTAGTAAACATTCAAAATCACAATGTGGGAAAATGCGCACACGATTCTGTCACTTTAAATACTATGTAAACATTCATTATTTAAATGTCACAAATTTGCATAATTTCGAAGCATCTGGTAGTTTCATTACAACATTTGTATGCTTTTAATCTTGGCCAGAAATTACAATTGTTCCAGAACTGTATCTGAAAAAGTTTGCTGTCGAACCAACCTCACTTGTTAAAAACACCTATAGCACGTAACAAACAGTCACAAAAAGTGCATATGCTGATTAGAAGTTGTTACACAATGTGACTGCCACGAAGAATGATTTTGTTTTTCCAGCACATGGTTTTTGTACAGACTATTCATTGCCAACAAGCTCATGTTCTCTCATTGAACTATTTTTTGCAGAAGTTATTGAAAGTCCTCTTACTAATTCACTGAATTCATTTTTTCTTAGTGGGGCTCAAAAGCGTTCAAGAACATGACAATAATTCCACCTGGGTCAGGGATAGTTCACCAGGTCAACCTTGAGTACCTTGGTCGTGTGGTGTTTAACATGAATGGTGTCTTGTACCCAGATAGTGTTGTAGGTACAGACTCTCACACAACAATGATAAATGGGCTTGGAATTGTTGGGTGGGGTAAGTTTTGCTTTGATTTTTATTGTTTGCTTCTCGCAGAAAGGGTGTTTTCAATTTACATGTATTATAGCAGAAATTATTGAAAAAGAAGTGCAGAAACTGACCAATTAACAATGACTAAGAAGCAATCAGCGGAATCCATGTACTACAGTGAAAACTCCATGTGTGGCAGTTTCGCGTAAGAAACCATCTCTCAACTAAAGTATCCAAAATTACCAAAATTAGTTTTCCTAGTCAAACTACCATATTTGTTTAAACATTCCATGTACAAATTTTCCAAACTGATCTCCATACATTTCCTGGACGAATAAGTTGAGAGAATTTGTTAATTGATCAAATCCTTTTCTCTTTAGTGATCATTTTATTTATCCTTATAACCTATTCTCTTGATCACCTACACGTAGTGACGTTATAAGAAAATTGGTTTTGTTCCATACATGTAGTTGGGAACCTCTCACAAGTGGCCACCGAATCTTGGCAATTTGGAGTGTCGCTCATGGTGGTTTGTATGTATTTAATGTTGCAGGTGTTGGAGGAATAGAAGCTGAAGCTGTCATGTTAGGTCAGGCAATAAGTATGGTATTGCCAAAGGTGGTGGGATATAAGCTGACAGGCCAAGTGAAACCATTCATAACATCCACTGATGTCGTACTTACCATTACAAAGGTAAGTGGTACAATGTACACTGTACTGAAGCAAGGGTGGTTGCAGGGTGCAAAGAAAGTCATTTTTACAGTTTGCCACTTGAACAAGCTGAAGCTAGCATTTACTAGCCCAAACGTCGTTTCAACGAGCCCCCAAAATTTTTTGATTAGCAGAATTGATTTCACAGTTCTTCTGTAAGTTGAATTCCTCAATGTTTTTCCTACCGGTAACTGAAATTAATTTTTTTTTTACTTGTAGCATCTTCGCCAGATTGGTGTGGTTGGTAAATTTGTGGAGTTTTTTGGTCCAGGTGTAACTCATTTGTCCATTGCTGATAGAGCCACTATTGCTAACATGTGTCCTGAGTATGGGGCAACCGTTGGCTTTTTTCCTGTGGATGAAAAGACTCTTTTGTATCTCAGACAAACAGGTCAGTATGCTTCTAAAGAAACAAGGTAGTTTCTTGGTGTTGCAGACGAGTGCGATCACGAAATGATGTATCACAACTTATCACGTTGGTACATAGCAGTACAGTATGACTTTAGAGCACTAGCTGAAAAACATAAACTTGAGCCTGCGATCAATTTAAAGCTGATAACTGGTCAGCGGAATACCTCATATAAACATGTGACCTTGATGAGCTGACACTTGAGCCTGCAAAATTAATATGGTCACGTGATTCTGGTCAGTGGATGCCCTGTTTTGACAGCTGTCAATCACCCATACGATGGATGTCATTTATCAAGTTAATTGAACACAGGTTGCAGGTTCCCATGGTAGCTAGAAAAATGTGAAAATGTGAAATTTCACATTGGTTGCCCTGTGCTGCAGACGGATGGGTGGGCAGGTGGCAGGTGGGTGGACAGACCTATGTTCACTCGACTACCAAAATTTCTCAGATGCATATATAACCAAATTTTCTTGCCCATGGTGCTCCACTATAAACTTTGAAATCTAATCTTCTTTTTACTTTTCTATCAGGTCGTTCTGAAGAAACACTTGAACGTGTTGAGGCATACATGAAAGCTACCAAAATGTTCCGTGACTACTCTGACCCAAACAATGACCCAGTGTTTTCCGAGGTAAGACAGAAATTATGGGGCTTTTGTCCTGCTTTGGCTTCCAAACGTTTTTAAGTATGTGTAATTATTTGTCTCATGCTACGTGCAATAATTGGACACAACATTGTTGGCCATCAACTCCCAACATTGTTGGATAATACATGTTGTGTCTGTTTGCACATCCTGTTGCATGTTGTTGCATGTTGTTTGAAACCAGTCAAACTTTAAGCTTCATGCAATCGGATGCAATTATCATTGCATCCATACATTCCCTTGAAGAATTTGTTAAGAGAAATTGATCTAAGATCAAAGTATCCTCCCTTTGATGATCATTTCATTAATTCTCAGAACTGTTTCTCTCAATAATTTGTGTATTGATACTATTAGCAGAAAATTGCTGTTGGACTCTCTTGGAGCCAGACTGCTCTTCATGCATTTTTCATGCAATGTGTTAGAACAATTTTTTTGAAAATCAAGGCATTTTCTTTCATATCACGATCTTTGTAAAGAAAAAGCGATTGCTACCACAGCGGACTCCTGAAGGAACAGTTTGAATTTCCTCCTCTAAAAATGCCAACAATTCTTTGGATCGAACAAAACCACCAACCTTGAGCGAGGCTTGTGATACACCAATCACTCACAACCAAGTAGTTGTACTCAGTAAAATGACACTATTGCCTGATGAAGACCTGCAGAATGCAGTTGAAACCTCACGTTTAATATCTAAGTGACAATGTTGAGACAAACGATAAACAAAACCCTTTATATTCATTAACCACGAGGACCATCATCTTTCCTGACATCATGATGTTTCTTTAGATTGTAGAGCTGGATCTGTCTACAGTAACTCCATCATTATCAGGGCCCAAAAGACCTCACGACAGGGTGGCAGTATCTGATATGAAGCAGGATTTCATGGACTGTTTAAACAATAAAGTTGGATTTAAGGGTTTTGGCATTCCAGCTGATAAACAGTCAGTAGAAGTTCCTTTCACCTTTGAAGGACAGGAGTTCAAGTTATCTCATGGTGAGAACTTTATGTGATACAGTAATCAACCCCTTGACCTCCCAGAATTTCTAAATTTTTAAATGCAGCAAAGGCCGTAGTATAATTGGCCATAAAAAGGGGCAATGCAACTGAAAAGCTTTCATTTGCGTGGTCACACCATAAGATTTCATCCATAGCCAGAGTCAAATGTTTTCATAGCTGGCTTTGGAGAAATTACGAAGGGTCAAGAATGACTAAACAACCAACTACAGGTACATGTACTAACAGTATCATCATCATCATTGTCATCATAATTATCATCTTCAGTGTTCTCCGTGCCAGAAGGCCATGTCAGGGTTACTGAGAACTAACTAGCAGTCAGAGCGGGACTTGAACTCGGGTCCTCTGAATTACAAGTCCAGCGCTCTATCTGCTCGGCCACGCTGCCTCCTCACTTTGACTTTGATGGTGGTTTACACAGAAGTTTTTCAGACATAAGTCACTATCACCAATAGTCCTATAAATAGTCAGGACCACTTACCAAGGAAATCCTATTCTACTACCTGTAACATCCACGCATTTGTTTTATTTTCCCCAAATCAAGGTTCTGTGGTGATAGCTGCAATTACAAGTTGTACAAATACTAGTAACCCATCAGTTATGCTGGGAGCAGGACTGTTGGCAAAGAAAGCTGTAGAATTGGGACTGTCAGTTAAACCTTATGTCAAGACAAGTTTATCACCAGGTTCTGGAGTGGTCACATATTATCTGCAAGAAAGTGGAGTTGTACCAAGTCTGGAAAAGTTAGGGTAAGATTAAAATTGAAACTGCTAGAGTTCATAATAAAAATTATTTCTAACTTTAAACACTAGTTTATCCACAATCAACCCCTGCTTTTCAGACACTTGCTTAATATGCACGCCTCATTATAATTTATGGACAGTTTTCTTTGTTCCTGGGGAAAGAAACCCCTTACATTTATCTCTAAATTCAACCCACTTATTTTGGACGCCTTGTTAATATGGACACTTTCTATGATCTTCTCAGTCTACATATTAATGAGGTTTGACTGTATTTTTGAAATCTTGGATGTTTCATGTGATTAAGATTGTGTCTTGTCTTCATTGTAGGTTCAATGTTGTAGGTTATGGCTGTATGACATGTATTGGAAACTCTGGTCCTTTATCTGATGAAGTATCAGAAGCTATTGAAAAGGTTTGAGAAGTTGCTCAATGTTTAACTTTGTGATGTGTGCTGTAATTGGTTTGAGTTTGATTACTGTAGATCATCTATTCAAGCTTGTTTCTTGAGGTGTGGCAGAATAAGAATCTAATTTCACCCTGGTCACTATGTAAGAAAATCATGGTCTTTGTGCAAGCACCTTTTCTTTCTATGCTAACAAAACTTCCTTTCACTGTATTAAAGATGACTCCCTCCCTCTCTTATCTGTCAAAGAAACTCCTGCATTTTTATTTTATTCTATTTAGTTACCTTCGCCTATTTTATGATACAGAAAAAAATTTGAAAGGGATAATAAGATGTATAAAGAAATAAAGAATTATTAATACATCATCAGACAGGGATGTCTCACAACAGCTGTAAGACAATAAATTATTTCAGTGGTCCAAGTGGCTAAAAAGTATGCAAGATGAAGTACAGCTACATATAACATAGTACTTATTAACTGAGACTGATAGACTATGAGAAGTCCCCATTTTTCCTCAGGGATAGTAGAGCAAGCGAAACGCGAACGCACGTGAAAATCACCCCATGCGAGAAAGGCATGGGATGATTTTCACACGTACTTGCATTTCGCTCGCTCTACTATCCCTGAGGAAAAATGGGGACTACTTGTAGTCTAGAGAGTGACGTCATTAACGAGAAATCTCAGACCAAGGCCTTGACTTATTGTATTGATTGAGTGATAGCGAGGTCAATTCATCAAGGCCGAGGTCTGAGATTTCCCTGTAATGATTGAACGGCCAAGGTTAATGAGTTATTTATTATATGGCTTTTTCATTATGAACCCAAGACTGCGGTCAATTAAAACCAACAACTGGTCAGCTGATAACTTTAAAAAACACGTCACCTTAATGAGTTATACATTTGAGCCCATGATACAGTCAGCTGACACTGATCAGCAGATACCTTTTTGACAGCTGTCAATTTGACCATAACATGGATGTCCATTAGGATGTCCACTATCAAGTTAAACACAGCTTGTAAATGCCTCGGACACCTAACGAGTAATGCACGATCATTACAAGAAAACAATCACTGTTGTAGCCATATAATAAGATGCAAGAATGAAGATAGACAGACACAAGGGTTTAAAAGAAGATTTGAAAAGCCTGTAGAGCTCAAAAGATAATTTGAAAATTAAAATGTGGATAACTTTCATGTAATATTAAGTTTTTTTTCTTTGTTGTCTTATTTTCTCTAGGGTGATCTTGTGGCTGTGGGTGTGTTGTCGGGAAACAGAAATTTTGAGGGACGTATCCACCCTCTGACAAGAGCAAATTACCTTGCCTCCCCTCCCCTAGTGATTGCTTATGCCATTGCAGGCACTACTCTTATAGACTTTGAGAAAGAGCCGATAGGTGANAGGCATGGGATGATTTTCACACGTACTTGCATTTCGCTCGCTCTACTATCCCTGAGGAAAAATGGGGACTACTTGTAGTCTAGAGAGTGACGTCATTAACGAGAAATCTCAGACCAAGGCCTTGACTTATTGTATTGATTGAGTGATAGCGAGGTCAATTCATCAAGGCCGAGGTCTGAGATTTCCCTGTAATGATTGAACGGCCAAGGTTAATGAGTTATTTATTATATGGCTTTTTCATTATGAACCCAAGACTGCGGTCAATTAAAACCAACAACTGGTCAGCTGATAACTTTAAAAAACACGTCACCTTAATGAGTTATACATTTGAGCCCATGATACAGTCAGCTGACACTGATCAGCAGATACCTTTTTGACAGCTGTCAATTTGACCATAACATGGATGTCCATTAGGATGTCCACTATCAAGTTAAACACAGCTTGTAAATGCCTCGGACACCTAACGAGTAATGCACGATCATTACAAGAAAACAATCACTGTTGTAGCCATATAATAAGATGCAAGAATGAAGATAGACAGACACAAGGGTTTAAAAGAAGATTTGAAAAGCCTGTAGAGCTCAAAAGATAATTTGAAAATTAAAATGTGGATAACTTTCATGTAATATTAAGTTTTTTTTCTTTGTTGTCTTATTTTCTCTAGGGTGATCTTGTGGCTGTGGGTGTGTTGTCGGGAAACAGAAATTTTGAGGGACGTATCCACCCTCTGACAAGAGCAAATTACCTTGCCTCCCCTCCCCTAGTGATTGCTTATGCCATTGCAGGCACTACTCTTATAGACTTTGAGAAAGAGCCGATAGGTGAGTTGCACCGGTGATTGCGTTCTTTTGACAGTCAGTGGTTATTTTGAGGTCTGTAAAAGTCAATAATAGCTTGGTCAGCTGAAGGAGTGTGATTTCTTGTCATTTGTAGGTATATCTAAGGACGGAAAAGAGGTTTTTCTCAGAGAGATCTGGCCAACGAGAGAAGAACTACAGGTTTGCTTTCATACGCACTCACAGTCACTTTAATCCTGTCCGCTCCAATATCCACATAGAAATTCTCAAAACTGATCTTCATACATTTTCTTAAAAAATTAGTTGAGAGAATAAGTTTGAAGATCAAAGCATTTAAAGGGGTTCGCTTCATTAGTTCTCGTAACCTTTTTTCTAGATTATATTATATTGATATTGTTATTGTAAAAGCCGATGTTGGTCACTATCGGCACTTGAAGGATTAACGGATATCAAGGTTGGCGCAGTGGTGAGTGCACTCGCCTCCTTCCAATGTGGCCCGGGTTCAAATCCCGGCGTCGAACAATTTGTTTCCTGTCATTTTACAAATCGCTTATAAACTGTGCCATGTTTCATGAGTGTTTTTTGCCATTTTAAGTTTAAACCCTTGTGATTTTTTTCTTTAGGAGGTTGAGAGGCAATTTGTCATTCCTGCGATGTTCAAAGAAGTCTATGCCAAAGTAACGGTACGTATAAATTCTCTTTGATGTTGAAAATATCCTTACCTCAGATAACGTAGAAAGTTAATAAACAGATAAATAAATATCGTGGTTCAATCAGTCAACTAATCATTTAGGAGCTTTCAATCGCTGTTGTTATGTTGTTTGTCAGTTCTGTCTACCCAGAAGTAAATGATCGGGAGTACGCTTTTTTGGGAAAAAAATTTATCCGAGCTCAGCGAATTATTTTTAAGTGCTTCCACTTATATTAGGTAGCCATATTTAATTCTATTTCTTACGGTTTACGTTCGTCTCGCCATCAAGAAGTCTTCTCGCCAGCACATAAGAACTGTGCAATAATTAACACTGTTTACTTACCTGGGATTGTTACTTCTTCCTGAAGCCCAAATATAAGTTTATCCATGTTAACTGACACCCTGAGTCGAACGTCTCATCTTTAGTTTTATTTTTGGTGAATAATTGCGACTTTTCACTGCCTTAATACGGCTTACTTGCATCGCACGAGGGGTGCGATTTGTTGAAAATCCAACAGCTTTTCTTATGAAAGTTGGTTAATATTGTCACTTAAACCTTACCTCCTTAAATTTTATTGTAAATTTAAAGTGAAAGAATTCTTTTTAGAGACTTGCCCTTTCGATAAGTATTAAGATATATACTCTTGGTGGTGAGATGCATAGTTTGGTGGCGAAGTTACCGGACACCTTTCTTGTCTCTGCCCAACACGATGTCAGCTGGATACTAACCTGTTTTCTGATTGCTTTTAGACTGGAAATCCTCGCTGGAATTCTCTCGAGGCACCTGACAGTATGTTGTATCCATGGGACGAGAACTCAACTTATATAAAACACCCACCTTTCTTTCAGTCAATGGTAAGTATGAATGGATGAGTAACAGAATCATTGTTGCACTATCAATAAAGTTCTAACGATTCTGGGGCATCAAAGAGTAAAATTTGAACCAGAGATTTCGATAATAAGAATGATGGTGGTGATGGTCTTGTTATATTTCTTGAGGGAGCAGTGCGGCATACTACCTTCTTGTCTTTAAACGTCAACAGCCAAAACTGTGGTACAGAGGGCGCTTTCCATTTTTCAAAACTGACCGGCCAGGCCATAACGGCTTGGAAACTAAAATTTCGAGGACGTTTTTGGACTTTTTACATTTAGGGCATGAATTTTTCGTCATTTCAGGCCTTGGAACCTAAAAATGAGCCTAGCTAGCTGTAAAAAGGGGCAATACGGAGGCAATACGTCCTAGCCGGCATGATCACATGCTGTTTACGGAAAATTCCCTCATCCATGTCAGGAAATTCTGTATTTTAAAGCCTCCCCTAGGGCATGACTCAGCAATTGAGGACATTTCTGCTACGTTTTCAATGTTGGTTAGCATGCAAGGATTTTTCCCATGCCTATCGTCAATGATTTGCTCACTGGTAATAGAGGGGGTGGCCCCAGAGTGGTTTTGCATTGAAATTGGCATGCAACAGAATTTCGCATGCCCTGTAAGCATAATTTGAGGTTCTGTGACCTTCTCACCCAGGCCGCGAGAAGCCTAGGTTCTAGTAATAAGTAATTCATACCCAGCAAAATCCCCGGCATGCCGGGCATGCCAAATTTTCTGACATGCCCGGCATGCTAAATTCTCTGGAATGCCGGGCGTGCCATAATCTGGGTCATGCCGGGCATGCCAAAATCGGTCTCTGGCATGTTTCAACGCACAGGTTATAATTCCTTGAATCTACAGATATTTTAAGCCTGGCTAAAAAAAAAAAATAAACAGATCACAGTGCTTATCTTTTGATGTACGGTTACACGATGACGTCATTGCTATTCCTTTCATTTTCATAGATTTGGTTGTCCCAGCGAAGTTTAAATAACAAAAGCTCTAATTTTCACAAGAAAGTAAAACCCTGAGGGATTCTGCCGAAGTAATAAAACAGCGTCATCGTGGAGATGACCTGTTGGGGGATTGTAAAAACTCCTCACCCCTTTTAATGAGTCTTTAATAGGATTCCCATTTCACATTGCGAATAAAATGGAATTGACTGAAATCAGTAAAAAGAGAGACAGAGACTATTTTCATTGTATAATAAAATGCATCTATGTTCCATGAAAGCTTTTAAAAATACAAGGTTATAGAATATCTTTCAAAGTTCATTACAAACTGAGCTAAGCCCCAAAATCACTGTTCATTATTCAGTAAATTATGATGTTTGACAATGCAATGTGCTTGAATATAACGTTGCAATTACAAATCTCTCGAACGCAATTTTCCCTACGTTAGAAAAGCTCTTTTTATCTTGTTTCACATTTTGATAAGGAGTCTGAGTTCCTCTTTCTTGTTTTGTAGGCTTGCCAGGGATTAATGTTTTTTTGTCATTACCAGTGTCTGTGTTCTTCGTTTTTAACTCAAAGTAAGTCAGTAATAACTGACGGTATCAAAGGATTGCTCTCTAGAAAAGTAATTATCTCCTCGTCATGTCTGGAAGTTACCTGTAACAAAAAAGAAATGGAATCTTAACACATGCAAGGGCAATATGAAAAAAAGAAATAGAACATGTAGAGCTCAGCTTCTCTTAACATATTTTCATACTGGCTTGTTGAGTCTGTTAAAGGTCGCAACTAATTGTCTGAGGCTAATTTCACAAGAGTGTGCAATTGAGATAAATACATGGTAAATAAAGTGAAAGAAACGTGGTTTCACATTAGCCAATTTACATTGCGCTGTTCGATGATGTTTACACGCTTTTCTACTGCGAAATAAACCTTTGCATTTGGATTTGCAAGTCAAGATTATACCGAGTTTGACTGACACTTAATTGAACAACAGTTTCATTTTTAAGCAGGCAATTGGGGTGTAGACCCATATAAAGCCGGAATATGTAAAGGAAACTCAGCGAAAACTTTTTCGCATCTTTTTGTGGCGATATTCTTTCACGGCCCGTCAACTGATTAGGGGTTGCGAAGAAAAAATAAATTAGGACCAAAGGTTAAAGCCTGTCCGGTTACATCATTTCGTATGTTACCTAGAGTTCTAATAAATAGGTCATAAAATAGGATTTAACGAGAGCGAATTTGTTTCTCAATCGGTGTATAAAAAAGTGAGGCTATCAAATGAGAAGTTTATAGAGTATCAAAATTATTAAATTAAAAGCTCATTTAATTAGGAAAATTCCTATACGAAAACAATGCTAGTGACATTAAATTGATCAGATAAAATTCTCAGAAAATATGTCCAATAAAAGCCTCATTATTTGCTTTTGTTTTTGCGTAAAGGTAAATTTTTCGGCCCACAAAGCAAAGTTGAAAAAGCGACTAAATCTTAGTTTTTTACATTGAACATGTTTATTAGCTTAGTTTTCGTCCGTTTTAAAAGCTTTATAACCCAATCATAATTTTCGGGTTAAAATATTACAAAATCATTTCAAAAACCATGTTCATTTAAAGTAGAGCCGGCAAACCTGAACATTTTGTAATTCAAAAGTCGGACCCAGCCAGGTTGTTTAAGCTTAGAATTATTTGCATTTTAGCGTCCTATAAATTTACCAGAATCGCCTCTCAGAGGCTTACTGTAGCAAAGCATTTTGTAGTACACTCGTAGACAAGCAATGTAAGCCTTAAGTCTTTGCTTGGATGAGATGTCCAAAAGAAAAATTAGTTTTGTGGACCTAAACGCACATTCACAGACTGCTTATATTGAGTTGTTTACAACTTTGCATTGACACGCGCAGCATGTTCATTTTTTTAAAGCGAAATCCAAATCTGATTTTGGCATTTGATTTACGGATATTTTATTTTGTCTCCAAAAGTGATTGTAATATCCGTTTGATTGTCTTTCAAACAACAGTCAAACTATGCAGCAAAAATAAGTAACTTTACCAGTACAGTGGAAAAATATGACCGTAGGTGCCAAAAATAATTATACTCGAGCTATAAAATTAGAACTGACTTTTTTTAGCTTTGGTTTCTTATTTTTGAAGTTTTCTCTAGTCTTCTTAGCAGCAGAAGAAGATTACAAGACATACAAACAGAAACAATCCGAAGTGAACAAGTTGACAACCACTTATGCCGGAGTTCTTAGGCATGCTCAACAGCAAGATAAACTGAATGCCAAAAGGATAATTCACGGGATTTGTTCGATATTCAGGCTTTTTCTTTACCAAATTAATACTAAATTTGTACTTACAGTCTCTCGCAGAATCCATTTCTTGTCCAGCATTCACCAACATCTCAACCATGCACCGCAGAAAAAAAAGACAAACAAGTGCGAAGAGACATGACGACATCGTGACGCCACAACTGCCACGCTACAACAAACTAGATTCATCGTCATCCGAAAACACTTCTGCGGAAATTCGGCCGATTTCGTGCGTGCTCGGGGTATCTTCGGATGACGCAGATGACGTTGCTCAAAGGACTATCGTCAGCAAGGAGTAAAACAGTTTGCGAGATTCGCATAGCCGACAAGAAGCGCACTGAAAAACTAAGCAAAATCTCTCTGAGAAGGCAGTCCAAATTCACCAAATCAGAACGTCTTTGCAGTATTAACGTCGTACTCTCGTACTGACTTGAACGACCTGGTAAGCTTAATTTTCACCAGTCTTTTAATGCTGTTGACCGGGAAACATTCCGACGCGATAAAACTTAAGCATGGATAAGTTTATACTGAGAAGATTTGTTATCTTATTGTTTAAGACGCTTTTCCGCGATCAAATTTAAATCAGTATCGGTTTGAAATAAAAGGATTAATCTTTGATTGCAAGTTAAGTATTCTATTTTATGCATGAATAATGTTGTTTTGTTGTGCTTTTTATTTATAAATCCAGGCTTCTGTCTTCAGTTTTGCCAGTCGATCCCGTGACACACATTGTGACAAACATGACTTTTTTTGTTATAATCTGCATTTATTGCCAGGCATGAAACCTGTAACTTCAAGCTCCCTAAGATATATTTGGCGATTATATGTGATTCTCAGGATATGATGCTGAAGCGAACATCAAAATCAGTGTCGCTGGGCATGCCAATTTCTTGCCTGGCATGCCGGGCATGCCAAACCAACTGGCTTCACCATAAGCTTCACCATCGGCATGCCCGGCATGCCAAACCAGAGGAGCAAAAACTGGGAATTAATTATCAACCCGGCGAGAGATCTGGGACCAAAGTTTAGCTGGGTCAATTTTGGGCTGCAAGGGCATGAACCCATTTTTTCCATGCCTATGAGATGTTATTTCTAAGTACCAATGTTCCCTTGAATTTTGTCATGCCTAAATATGTAAAATTTTCCCTCTCTCATTAATCCTCAGACTAGATGCGATTTTTACGCTCGCTAGGCATGTTCACCTGAAAATCATGCCCATACCCTTATTCAAAACAAAATGCTATCAAATTTTAGTTTCCAAGCCGTTCCATTCTCATCGTAATGAGAATTTCACTTTTTATAAAAAATATCCCGCCAAATCAGTCAAATCCGAAATAGCATGCTTGAATGAGGTGGTTTTTCTACCAAAACTCTTAGAAAAAGCCTATTTCATTTCAAAATAAATGACCATTGACAAGTGAACTTCTTTACAAAAGTTAAATGGAAAATAAGAAGCCAAGAATTAAACTTTTCAACTTGCCCTTGATGAAAGCTTGGGCTTGTTTGGGTTTTACCATTTTGTTATAATAAGTTGGACGCGGGTTAGACCCTTTGTTTTCGTGTACTACCACCATAGTTAGTTGTTTGGTATCTTTGTAAAGCTTTAGGGAACAGTTAGGAAGAGCTTATCCAGAGACTCTTACAAAACGGTTCTTTATCGAGCAGGTAAACATTGCAAGCTATGTATAGCGGCAAGAAAACGAGAAGGATACTCATTTGGAAAATAATATGGTTGATCTTGTTGGAAGGTCACTATAAGTGATAAGTATCTCAGCACTTGTTAACCATAATTGTTTGCTTACAGGTCAAGGATTTGCCCAGCCGGGAGAGCATTAAAGATGCTGCTGTATTGTTAAATTTAGGAGATTCCGTTACAACTGATCATATATCTCCTGCTGGCAGTATTTCTCGCACAAGCCCTGCTGCTCGTTATCTGGCTGGTAGAGGGTAGGAATGTGTTCCTTTATGATATATATAATAACCGCGTGTTTCAGTTGTCAATTTTATAGAATTGTTTTGGATCGAAAACCGAAAAGAATTTAAAACAAATGCTTTGATTTAAGTTGTTACCCATTTTGATTGGCTGTAAATCTCGCACCACTTTCTTAACCAAGCACGAAAAGAATTTAAAACAAATGCTCTCATTTAAGTTGTTACGTCTTGAAATCTCGTGCCACTTTCTCAACCAATCACGTATTGCATAATCTAATTGTAGCATTTTCGCATGCGTTTCCCGCGCCTTCCGCCAGTCAACATTTGCTTTCTCTGATTTCTGATTGGTTTATTTGATTTTCTTTGTTTGCTCTGATTGGGCAGATTAATCACTAATAGCGAGACACCGCTAAGATACGACAGCGGCAATGCTAGTGAAAACGACGCTAAAAAACTGACTTCACATGCTTTCAAACTTTTTCACGATCGTCACATATCCTCATTTCATTCAGTCATTTGAAAGTTGGGAAATCAAACAGGTCCAGAGGTAAGGGGACCACGTCTGAACTCAGTTTGGTGGAGTCAAATTTATGGCATTGACGTTCGCGTTCTCAGATTTGGTCATTTTGTGTCGTTGTTGTGCTGGGACGTCAAAGATATATATAGAGAAAAGCGTAATGCACGTGCAGAGTTGTTGTTTTGCTAACTCTATCCTACTTTTTAGGCGTTTCCGTTTTCCCATCAAATTCTCTTAACATGGATTAGTAAAGCATATAATAGTCAGATGTGTGTTTCAACTCTCTTACATTTTATCGCAGGCTCGCACCTCGTGAGTTTAATTCTTATGGATCTCGCCGTGGAAATGATGCTGTTATGGCCCGTGGAACGTTCGCTAATATTAGACTAGTGAACAAATTCATAGGAAAAGCTGCTCCCAAAACCCTGCACTTTCCCTCAGGAGATACGGTACTTGGTTTGCTTGCTTACCTACACTTATCATGTACGTGCTTTGTTGTCGTTGTTTTGAGCGTTCTGATTTGGTTTACCCGACTTATTTATGACTGTTCTTCTACAGATGGACATCTTTGATGCCGCTGAACGCTACCGGCAAGAGGGACGCCAACTCATTATCTTGGCCGGCAAGGATTATGGGTCAGGATCGTCACGTGACTGGGCTGCTAAGGGGCCCTGGATGCAGGTAAATACAATAGTCGGAAAATAATACACACTCATAGGGCACTTAAAACCCCTCACTCGTCGTGGTGAGAAACTCTTGTTCGTGGTATTTCATTAACAATTCAAACTTAAATCTTAAAGGCTGAATGATTCAGGAGTGTTTTTTCACAACTCTTCTCGCAAAGGACAATCGTTCATGGGGTGGTTTCGTCCATCATTTTGTCGGATATCTCTGATTGTACAAAATATTAACAGTTACACTACGAGTTTGATTTTTCTGTAGTTAATAGTCATTTCGCCGCTTCGCGCCTCGTTGACTATTTGACTCCCAGAAAATGAACGAGTAATGTAATTGTTTTAGTAAAAAGCAGCATGCTTCCTTCGATCCTACCAAGTTTGGATGAAATATGCAAAAACAGGCCTTTGTTTGCACAGCTTGAATTTACGAAAAAACTCGTTTAATTGTCACGACTACATTTGTACTTTTTAGCGTGAAAAAAGATCATGCCGCTTTAGTTTTTGTATCGTTTTGTTGTTTTTTCTTTTTTTCTGGCGTAGTATCCTAATTACTCTATCTGCTCCTCAGAAATGTCGCAGGGAGGATTTGTTGATTAAGTTGCCATTGTTTTGTCCAAATAACCGCTTCGCCACTCACCCTCTGTCACACAGTACTGACAGAGTGAATATGTTAGTCAATCGGATTCCGGAATTCTTGATAGTTTGTTAATTGGTTTCTTCTAAATTCGTACTTTAGTATGCCTCTCAACTCTGACTGAACAGTACGTTTATCGGGTAATGGGGCATCTAAGGAAGTCTTATGAAAGGACCATCGGGATTCTTATGTTGTCAGTGCATGTTAACGTGGGAGGGGAGAGGGGGGTGGGGCATCTCAAAAATACACGTTATCCTTATTATTTTTGTGTTTCTTTCCTCCAGGGCATCAAAGCTGTGATATCAGAGAGCTTTGAACGAATTCATCGCAGTAATTTGGTAGGAATGGGTATCATGCCCCTAGAATACCTTCCCGGCCAGAACGCAGAGAGCTTGGGACTGACGGGAAAAGAAAGCTACACTATTGAAGTAGCTGAAGATTTAAAAACCGGCCAAACAGTGGATGTGAAGGTAGGCGATGCAAATGCCTCTTTTGTAAACGCCTGAGGTCAGTTTTGAGATCCTTTAAAAAGTTTGAGCTGTAGTTTTAAGTCTTCATTAGTAAAACGTAAGAAATTCACGACTCAGAATTGAACGCAGGCCCTGTGGTAGTAAATCTCTTTTTCACGTAAATCTCATCCCCACTCTATGACGCGGGTTTGTCAGAAATCTGAAAATGTAAAGTATGTAACTGTGTTTCGTAACTGATACATCGATAATAAGTGTCCTTAGCCCTTTTCCCAACATTTACCGATTTTCGTAAATTCTATCTACAAGCCCAAAACTTGAAACTGTTAAGGCAAATTCACTCACTAATACATAAAGGTGAATCCGTAGTATTATTGACACTGTTTTACAAATAGAGGTAAGCTTTAATAATAGGGCCGACGTTTTCAATTTGCCATTACCGAGTTACAAAAAATGTCACTTTCAAAACGAGGCTAAGTGCAAAACCTTTCTTGTGTAATTGGGTTATATTCTTTGTTTTCACTCACGTGGCCAGCATCTATGCAAATTTTTTGGTACAAAAGAAAGTGTCTACGTAAGAAAAGAGTTCAACTCCCACAGGACTGGTTTGGGACACAAACATGGCCGCCCTTTCATTGCTTTGGGACACAAATAAGGCCGCCATGACGTTATGTGAAAACACAAAATTAGCACGAGAATGAAAAATCAATTTCACATCAAGAACCTCGCAATTAGCCTCGTTTTGAAACAGGCTTGCGGCAACTCGGAAATAGCCCATTTTATCCATGCCTTTGCTTGCTTTTTGCCTTTCTATATCTCTGTTGTTTCGTTAAGTGCTGAAATTACCCAAAATCACCTGACCTACCTTTCAAAGTGAGTGTGTATATTTTTCCCGGTTGTTTAATTGATTTGTTTGCCTGTTTGCTTGCAGCTGAATGATGGTCGTTTGTTCAAAGTAAAAGTTCGTTTTGACACAGATGTCGAGCTGATGTACTTTAAACATGGCGGCATCCTGAACTACATGATTAGGAGCATGTTGCAGTGAAGAGTCCCTGAAATTATCGCTATTTTCCTGAGCTTATATTTAAATGCTGGTCATCAGCGAAGACAGTGGGAAAAAAAGCGAATTTTTAAGAGCTGACCTTTTTGCTCTCCACACCGTTGAATGAATAAAAAAGAAAAAGAAAACCTTGGGGATTGGGGATAAATAGGGGCGTTGGTTTTTCACAATCATGAAATAGATAGGCTCGATTACTAACCGCTGGTCGGGAAATAAGCCCGCGCTCCTCCCTCTTCTTGGGGAAGACCGAGAGAATTTCCGAATTTCAAGATCCTCACTTTCAAATTGAGGTGAATTGCAAACACTTTGTACGTGAAAATGAGTGTCACACATTGCAAGAGAATAAAAAAAATTTCATGTCAAAGAGTTCGCTTTTCACTCTCGGTTGGAAAGGGCCTTACGGTAACTCGGAAGTGAACAAATGTAGTTGAGCCCGCAATACCTCGTAGTCCAAAATGTCACAAAGAAACGAATGACGCAAATCCACCACTTTAGAAATGAGGAAACTGGGCCGAGCTTACTTTCGCAAAGACTTCTGGGATCGTTACTGGGGACGCGCTGGTCAACCATTGGTCAATTTTTTCCCGTCCCCAGTAACCGTCCCAGAAGTCTTTGCAAAAGTTAACTCGACCTAGTTTCCTTTCCGTTTCTAAAGTGTCGATTAGTAATTTAAAATAGTCCTTTCGTTTCGTTTTTATGTCAGCCAATACAACTTTCCCGCATGATTAGGCGTTATAACAGGAATTGCCTATGATTTCTTCCCTTTTTTAAGGCACCTGTATATATGATACGAATTCAACCTGACTATTTAAGAAGAATATCAGGCAAACTACAAGAAGAAGAAATTATATTTTTAGCAATGCCTAGTGATAAAAAAGTGCTACATATAAAAATGTGAGACAAATGTTAGATTCGAATTGACAAAATATTTCAAATAGTTGTACGAGGGCTTTGATTAAAGATTCTGTCTGAAACTAGTAGACTTTGTCCTGAGAAAACAGAAACCAAACTATTTAACAGTGTTATTCATAAACGTGAATGCCTGTAACACGCTGAAAATAAATTGAACAGTTTGAACTGGTTGTTTTGTTAGTGTTGTTGTTTGTGGTTTACATCTCGCAGTGGTGGTAACTGGAATAGTTGGGTTTCTTTTTGAGCCTCGCAATCCAGGAGAGACAGGAGTCCGTAATCCGTCCTTAAAATCACCTCCGAATGCAGAACACTTGTATTTTGTTTTCGGTTTAGTTTGTTTTTACTGCAGGTCCTAGTTGTTTGAAGGCCGATTAACGTTAACCGAGGCTTAAATTTTTATCCCCGTTTCTTTTTTTTTAGGAGCACTTTCTTTGATAATTTTCTCAAGTAACAATTAGTTCATAAGTCAGCGTGCGTATGTCGAGATATTGAGCACGCGGGAAGTTTGGAGAGCACGAAAGATGCGCCTCGTGCAACTCTAGCCTCTTGAGTGCTCTCCAAACTTCCCAAGTAACATTATCAAAGCGATCAATGCAGCAGTTAACTTAAAATTTTATTATTGTAGGGCGCGCTTAAAGCAATACGCGTCAATGTTTACGTGACTATATATTTTTTTCCTCACAGTTAATCTTATGTTTTTATCCTGAAACTGAGAGAAAGTGTACTCTAAAATGATTGTAAAATCCAAATTTAGGTGCCGGAAAACTATTAATTTGCCAAAAAATTGTTATTGAGAGAAAACAACTTTGCAAAGAACACAGCTCGCGGAGATGACAACAACAACAACAACAACACTCACCTCTTTTCCTCACTATCGGTTAACAAATTCAAACGTTTCCTCCTAAATTTCCTTATAAAACACATGGTAAACGCTTCGTTGTCTGTTGCTGAGTTATGGATGCACTCAGGATTGCTAAGCGACCTAAGGTCACAACAACTCGAGGAATTACGAATAGTTCATTGACGTCATCAGCATGCTCAATAGGAATATGAAGCACGCTCGCGCTATTGAATTTGATTAGACGAATTTTCTAGCTATGCTATAATTCTTTTTAGAGCATCCAATCATCAAATTGTAGACGAGGAATTGAACTGAATTTGCTTTTTAAGATTTCATATCCGAAATCGAATTTCGCACTCACCCTGGGTTATCTTAACCGAGCTTTGAACACCCCGGCCCAGAGCGTTTACACTCACGTGGCCAAGGTCTATGTACATTTATTGGAACTAAAGAAAGCGTTTACATAAGAAAAGATTTCAACTCCGACAGGATTAGCCTGATTCACCAACATGGCCGCTGTTTCATTGTTTTGGAACATCAACAGTCGACCGCCGTGTCGACCGCCGTGACGTCACTTGAAAACGATGTATTGCGGACTTGAGTGGTACAGTTTGAAAACGCTTAAGAAAGACCAAAAAACAAGATGGAAGTTACGCGCTGAGTCGCGATCAAGGCATTTGTGAAACTTGTCCCAGGTTATAACAGACCAAAATACATTTGTATTTGAGCATTTACTGTATCATTTCAAACTTCTTGCAAACGCAGTGAATCTGTGCATTGCTGTGTTACGCTGTTTTTACAGACTATATATAAACTAAAAGCTTGCTTGCATTCAAGGTCGATGCGCGTAATATGTCATACGTAAAAGAGTAGAGAGATTTCGCATCACGTTTATGGCAACCAGCAAACGTCAAATTGACGATTTCTCAAAGTAGGAACTGAACGGATTAAAACTGTGCAAGCTAATTCTTGCGGACGAAAGTGGCGTGAAACTAATAGTTTTATTGTAGACCTGATGAACTGTAAACGACTAGTAAAGGGATAAGAACGTGAGGTCAGATGGTACAAATTGACGTTTGTCGTAAACGCGATTCTATCTCTCCCTATTTTTTCGCACCACACTTGCCTCGTCTTCAAGCTCCTTCCAGTCCACTGCGACTGAATAACGAGTATGACTTATAGTGTACGAATATCATGTTACCATATTATGAACATACATTTACCTAAAATAAACTTCTTGCCTCAGTTTTTGAAACGATGGATAGCGCCTTCCATCGGATAAATCACTATCCATTGGATAAGTAGTAGCGAAACCAATTGCACTATCCAGTGGATAGAGATTTATTCAGCGGATAGCGCTATCCACGATTTGAACAACTGGAGCCTGGTATAATTGATAAAGTGGTGCCTACCACCTGTAATAACACGCTTGCTATACATTTTTCCCCACAAAACGTCATGACGTGTGCGCAGGGGTGTGCGTTATGTACAGTGTTAGTTGTCGTCAGCCTAGTCCCTAGGCGTTCTCTTTTGCTCAGTTGTCCGCGCGAAGTCTGGGAAAGAGCGGGTGAGAGAATGACGAGTATCTCTCGGTGACGTCACAACTCACGGTAGAGTCTAGGATTGACCGAGCCGAGAATGCCTAGGGACAAGGCTGAGTTGTCGTATAGTTATGCGCTTGTGGACACGAATGAACATGTTATTGTGTATGAACCTTTTATATAATCAAACGTCTTGGCATCAGTTAGTCACTCATCCACCTAGCTAGGTTGCGGCCTAGTCCCTAGGCGTTCTCGGCTCGGTCAATCCTGGACTCTACCGTGAGCTGACCTTTCCCAGACTTCGCGCAGACAACAAGGAAGGAGGGAACGCCTAGGGACTAGGATGTTCGGAAACATGCTTTACGATCGCGAGATTGAGAGCAATTTGACCAGAACTAAGCTAGAACAAATGGAAAATGAAGTGTGATGATAAGAAATTAAGCGACATTAATCTCTTCCTTGAAAAAATAAAAAATAAAACTTTATCAGTCTTGACCTTTCATCTAGTCAGTTTTGATTTAATGGTTGCTTCGACCTGAAGAGCTTCAAAAACTGTAGAACGAGTTGGCCTAAATTAGGCCCTGTCCAAATATATCCGAGTATTTTGGACAACGGGGATTTTTTCCTCCGTTTTCGTAAAAATACGCGTCTA